AATTAGAGAGGTAAGATGTGGGCAAGTGGATGAAATTTTGGAGAGTTAGTTGAGGTTGATGAGGGGGGGGGGGGGGGGCCACACCAACAATCAGTACTGTTGTGCAGGAGGGTTAAAACTCTTGGATCGCAGTTGCAGTTGCCGAAAAGAGCATGAGACTAGCCCCGTGAAAGCAGGGACTGGCTTGCGATTTTGTCGTTGCCCGATCAGAGCAATGAAATACATAGTTGTAGATGACTACCGTAAATGTACGTATTACATCTGTACAATATTAAGATTCAAAACGCATCGCAAACATTATGCAGTTGGTCATGGCCGTGATCTCGCACCACACGGTACAGGGGCACTCATGGAGTTGGGCTATTGCTGAAACGTCTCAATTTGAAGAAGAGCGGATAACTTCATGCTCATTAAGGAGACTTCCCGCTTGCCTCAAAGAGAATCATCCATCAGCTTGCAATGCTGATAGCCCGTTCATTACCTCGGTGCAGTCATTCCACTAGAGTTTAAGAGTCTACTCAAAATATTCGTGTGAGCTCGAAAGCCCAATCTACCAGTCTACCGCCAGTAAAGTAATGGAATGAGCCGTAATTGCCGTGGTCTGTGTACCGCTCTCCACGTGTCCATCAACTGTTTTGAAAGCTCTTCTCTCTCGCCCCGCCTTGGCCCCTAGTTTGTTCTTTTATCCTCTCCGAACGACGACTATCCTTCTTCCGGAACACAAGATATGGCCCGGTCATCTCTACGACTTAACCAAATATTAGTGTCGATATGGACACGACTAGCCGCGCTCATGTGCGACTCAGGGCTCACGTTGCCAACTTTGGCTAATGACAGGAGGACCTAGTTTATCACTGCTCGTCGAAATACGTTGCTCTTTTCGACACAGAACCCCCTCTTCCTGCGAGAATCTCCTCTTCCTATCCAGCACCGCTTTATGATGCATCGCTCAGGATTTCGAACATTATTGCTTCTGCTGCTACTGCGGGAGTGCGCTAATGCGCAATTTCGGTTTTCCGTCTCTACTTTACCTCCATCGAGTGGCACCAATGTCCCATCGCCGCGTGCTGATCACCTCACCGTTGTTGTACAGTCTCGCGATGGCTTTCTCGTCCTTGTTTTTGGGGGCCGAGATGCTACAGGAGCAAAATCTGATACCTGGACATACCTTGTGACGGAAAACCGATGGACCCTGTTGGCTGCGCCCGCCCTTGCTGAAAATAACCCTCCCCCTGCTATGTATGGGGCAGTGGGTGGCTATCGATTCCTCGATGGCCAAGCGGAGTTTCCCTTTCTCTATGTGACTTTAGGCCGTCTTCATGACGGAACTGTTACCAATGAAATGTGGGTCATGGAACTTGAGACTTTCACTTGGAGAAGAGTGAAGTTGGACGGCGACATTCCTTCCCCACGTTGGGGTGCGTTAGGTTCGCTTGAGAGCTTTGTAAAACCCGATGGGTCTGTTCAGCCCGCTCTTATCGTGTCACATGGTCGTGATGAGGATGGACCATTGTCTGACACGTACAAATGCTCGTTTCATAGTACAGACCCGTACCGCGCAACATGGAGGAAAATTCACGAGCCGGTCGGACAGTATTCTACTCGCGCACCTCACCCTGTCTGGATGCATAGCGCTACTTTCACACCAGCAAGGGATGTGGTCATGTTCGGTGGTTGTTATGCGAGCGACAAGCACGGAGGTATATGCCCTAGCCGTGATACCTGGTTGCTCGAATACGATCCAGAGAAAACGTCAGACATCGACACAGCCGATGTGGAAACATCAGCAGAATCGATTCCCGAGTTTATGCCTGAAACAGATGCCGTCCGATGGCAGAAATTGCCACGAGGTCCTCCTCCACGCGTCGGAGCGGCTATGGCGCAGGGACTCAACTCATTTGAAGATGCGTATAGTGGTCAACGCGATATTGCCATTCTGTATAGTGGATCTCAGCGAACTGATGACCTCCCGTCCGACCAGGTTATGACAATGCCTCATTTTGACGGTGGAGTTGTGGATATTGTGTCGACGACATCACGGGCATGGCTGCATGAGCGCGTGCACTACGTCGGCCCGGAAAAGCAGCGACAAAAAACTCTGGATCGACGGAAAGGGGCGACTTTGAATGCAGTTCGGGATGTGACATCCGAAGAAACAGACATTGATCAGCCAAGTGAATACTACCTAGTGTTTGGAGGAGAATTTGAGGACGGATCCTTCACGAACGCGCTCCTGAAACTCTCATTTGATGCGTTTGTTGAATCAGAACTGATTGAGGATGAGACTCCGTACACGACGCGTCCTATGATCCACGGAATTCTAATGTTTCTCAGTTGGGGTATACTGATGGTTATTGGAACATTCTCATCTCGATTTGCAAAGGACAAAGAGGGAAAGTCTCGTTTTTTTGTCGTACACGTCTTCGTTCAGTTGGTTGCACTTGTCCTGGCGTGGGCAGGAGCCGGCATCGCAATTTATGGGCGCCGGCGATCCAACTCATCTTTTGCTCATGGCAAAATTGGTTTGGTAGCGCTCTTCTTGGCTTCATTTCAACCAATTATGGCAGTCATTGGAATTTTGCTGCGTCTCCGCAATGCTTCGTCTGAGATTGAGAATAGAGCAAAGCTTAGTGAACGTCTGTTTCCGAGAATTTGCTTATTTTATCACCGCACTGTGGGAATGGCAATTATTGTGCTTGCCGCAGTGAACGTCACACTAGGATTGTTTCTCATTGTTGCACCAGCAACGTTGTGGATACAGTGGATTGTGTACGCATGTCTTGTATTTATTGCTGGTTTGATTCTCGAAGTAATCGGAGGGCGACGCGCAGGCCCTGACCATATGCATGCAAAAGTCCCTTCGGTGAACCAGGGAGGAATTAGCGGTGGTAGTTCATATCCGTCGTGTGTAGTACAATCGCTTAAGGGGGAAAGCACTGCGGACATGCTGCGGAGAAGTACATCTAGCTTTGGGAATAGGAACAAACCAGCAGCGGATGAGATTCCGGCAGAGAATGTAAGCAAGGGTGAGGAAACGCCATGGAATGGATCGCAGGTCGGAGCAAGTTTTTCGAGTTATTCTGCCCAAGAAAAAGGTACAGAGCACATGGAAGATGCACTCGAACAACAACTGACCGAGTTGGGGGTTCATTTTCGAAACACTGGAGCCAGTCAGTTTTCTATGCGGGAACGACTTGATTCGGGAACGTCCTTGATGTCTGTGTACCAAGACCCCGATTCGTATTAAACCCACGACTGCAACTTTTCAAATCGATTAGGTTGCTGAGACAATGTGTAAATGAAACAGCTTACGTACACTGCGACAGAGCTAACGAATAGAAGTAGAACGGTAATTGGACAACTAGGGCTTTGTCCATTCTTGTTAAGCAAAAAGCTGGCAAAGGTGTTCACACATTCTTTCTTGGCATGGATGCATCGCTAACAGCTGCATCAGAGGGGTTTAAGGCAAAGGTGGGCCTCTGCAGGGCTTTGATCCATGCCACTTACAGAACTGTGTTTTTGCACCCTCAGGGGGTCAACAATTGACTTGCAAAATATAGAAATATGGTAATGTTTTCACAGCACGCCTCGACTTTGAATTCAAAACTAGGAACGGTTTGCCCGTTTTCATTTCTCTGTCCGCAATCGTAAACGAAGGGTCCGGCATGGCTCTTCCAGGTCTGCTGTGACGAACAGCTCCATTACTGACCATCATCGTATGTGCGTTCGCCATGTTACACTTGGAACCTCTGTTCCCTCCGACTGAAGAAGAGGATGCCCTGATTCTTCTCGAGGACATGGAACAATCCCTCAGCGGCCGTCGCCACTCCAACGAAATGACATCCCCGTCCCCTATTCGCGCAGATTTCAAAGCTCCGCAAGCTTTCGCTGATCTTCGCGACCTCACTCACCTCGCCGTGTGGCAAGTTTCCACCGCAAAGCCCGGAAATGGTGTAGAACAGCTCCTGGACCACAGTCCGGACACTTTCTGGCAGTCGGATGGACCACAGCCGCACACCATCTCTGCTCAGTTTTGTGCTAAACACAAAGTTGCTGAAGTTGGCCTCTATCTTGATTACGGTGCAGACGAGAGCTACACTCCCGCAGTCGTGTCTGTGCTTGCTGGTGCTAATGCTCACGATCTGAGGTTGGTTCGGCGGTTAAGGAAGTTCGATGCCCCAAATGGCTGGATTCGCATCCCTATGGGTGAGAATCCATCCATCCTCGACGACGATGAGGAAGACGATGATACAGATCCTGAGCTAGCAGACGAAGCTGACCCCGAGGAACGGGCCGCCAGAAACGCGAGAAAGCTCATAAAGGCACAACAGAGGGAAAAGAAAGTAGTCATCCGGCAACGAGAGTTAGACTTGAAGCGAAAGCAAAAGGAGCGAGGGGTGAATGGAGCCCTGCAAGCGATGAGAGACTACTCTGTCACGAAGACCCATACGATTAGAATTGTTATTCACTGCAACCATCAGAACGGACGAGACTCCCACGTGAGGATGGTGCGCGCTCTCGGGCCAAAGCAGCAAATCATTGGCACTAGTTCAAGGTTTACTTCGACCCACTTTCAGATGTACGAGGCGATTAGGTAAGTCATGTTCACACAATTTACCCAACAAGAAGGCACTGGACCACTATTTAAAGTTAGTCACCCAGGCATGCGATTCCCTTTCGTGCACCTCGTCTACGACTTCAGAAAGGTAATTTGCTAGGGCCCCTCTACACGGTTAAGTCGTGTATGTAGATCATGCAGCTTCGGTTGGCTCCATTCCACTAGCATGGAAGCGTGCCTTCATGCAAACGACGTTGTTACGTCTATGGTGTACGGTGTGTGTGTCCCGACACTAAGGGTTTTAGAGTCAACAAATATGGCACCCCAGTTCTTGACTATGTCGTGGTGACAATGATGTCTATGGCGACCTCGTAAAGGCACTTGTCACGGCCCTCGATACTGGGCTTCATGTAAATAGATGTCCGGATGGTGGATCCCGGCCGTCCAGTGTACCCATTGAGCCAGACGGTGAAAAGTAGAGTTTTGCTGAATTCAGTTGATGCTTGCTAGTAGCCGGCCCACCGCCAATTGTCCTTGTCTGTGAAATAAAGGGTAACCGCCTTGTCTCGCGGCAGTGCTGATAACTTGGATTCCATTTTCAGGTTGCTCGCAAAATTTTCCAAGGCTCGATGAGATCATGATAGAAACAAAGTGCACCTTGAGTGATTCCGACTCACATGTCAAGACACTGCTCCTACTCCGCCCACCCATCCTCCACAATTTGCAAGCTTCTACAGTACATCATATCGTACTCAAAGCAGGGCAGCAAGGAGGAATTGCAACTACTGATGCAATTTGAGCGAAATATGTTGCTTGTTCCCCTGAATAGGCAAATTGGCCCTCTCCCTCATACCGCGATAGGCCTCTTCAACGGTCGAAAAAACCAAACAAGCAACGCCTGACTTGCGCAAATGCCTGACGGCCACAAGCTCGTACGACGCAAAAAAGCCCCACAAAAGCCTAGGGGACATGTTGAATGGAAGATTAGTGGCGAGCAAGGCCCGTCCACGTTCTTCGGGCTGGGGCTTGATAACATTCATCCTCCTGCGGAGCGACGTGCGCCCCCTCCTCTGCCCAGGTCCTGTGGACGGCACTGCGAGCATCTCCTCGACAATTCTGAGATCGACTGGCGCGGCGCGGACGAGCTTGAGGCCTGCGACGCGGCCCGTGACGCGCGAGGCGACGTCGGCAGCGGCGGAGGCCGAGCCGGCATCGAAAACCCAGACCGATTGGTTCTGAAAGACGTCGCTTTGCCCTTGGACTAGGCCGCGCACCATGTCGGGAGAATCGGAAGGCGGCTCGGGCTTGATGCCTTGAGCAGACAGGAAGAGCTCCAGATCGGTTTTGGTAGCGTAACTTGACGGGCCAGCGATGCGGACGAAGCGCTTTTCAGTGCCCGGACCACCGTCGGTAAAGGGCGCGGGAAGTTCGGAGGACGAGGGCAGTGAGGAGGAGGATATGGTTTGTGTAGACAAAGGACGTGCAGCTTGCGTGATGGCCTGTCGGTGTCGGAAGAGGGCGGAGGTGAGACGGGCCCCGGAGGAGAGAGACATTCTGATGAGATGCGGAATTGACAAAAGAAGGAGAGGACTACGGAGGGGAGCAACACGGGAATTGCGGAGCAGGTCGTCCGTGATGGCGGTGGCGTTGGTCCAAAGGTTGCGCGGTGAGGGACGCCGCCCGGCATGTTATGAGTATTGATGCGCCTCTCGCAGATGGACAATATGGTAAAGTCCTAAACGGGGCTCAGAACCGAATTTTATCCAACATTTTTGATTCGTTGCTATGGTGGGGCGATCCACGCCCTCAATGATGATGAATCAAGCATGATGAATCAAGCATGGTGAAGCAAGCATACAGTATTCTACTGTGAGGACAGGTACAGTACTGTGCTGTACACGTGTATAACGCTTTCCCATTCGATTGTAGCGATCGCCACTGTACTGTGAGAAGAAGCTCACTTCGCGATTCCAAATCTCCGCGGCCGCACTTCCATGAGCTTGTAGCTCAATGTTTTGCACTTCTGCGAATCAAATATATATTAGTGCAATGTACATTTCCATACCCCAGTTCGTTGTCTAACGTCTCCACAGTCTGCGTCGAGAAAAGTCACTATAAAAGAGCTTAGCAATCCCTTAGCAATCTGCTCTAATGATCCGCGCAATTTGTCGCAGTACTGCTTCTGGGATACGTCGTCCTCTGGCGCCGGTGATCTATAAATTTATCTTCCAAGTCGGTTCTAATGTGCACGTCAACAAAATGATATTTGATGATGCTCCGCGGTCTCGGATGTACTGTATCATTAATTGGGATTGAGTGCGCTGCGTTCTGGATGTAGCTTCGCGCAAAATGTAGGCTGCCCAAGAGGGGCAATCAGAGGGAGACAAGCAGCAATCGTTGGTGCCGAACAATCAAAGAACACGGGTTCCATTGGCGATGCGCTGGAAATTCGTTGGTGAAAAGATGGTGGACCACTCAACTTCACCAGTATGGACTGTTCACGCCCCACAAAGGCAAGGCAGACAGTGTCTCCGGTGTAGATGGCAACAGAAATTGTGGAGTGGAGCCACTCACGTGCCCGTTGCAACTGAGGCGCGACACCTCCATTTGCGAAAAGGGGAGCCCGAATGCCAACGCCAGCATGGCCTGGTGGGCAAGATCCGGGCGCGACTCGACGAGACAACACTTGCGTCGGGACATCGACTCAAAGCGATCTTTACAAAGGTGTAGAAGGAACAGGGGCAGCCCCGGTTTATGATCGGCATGCAGCAAGAAGCTCCGTACTGAAGACACAGTTTTCCAATCGGTTTTTGCTCATGCGCCGTGACGCGCCAGTTTAATTTGCCCGCCCCCCTGACTCTTTGAATTTGAAAATCCCAGTCGAGTTTAAACCCTCTATCTCATTTCGGCCCGCACCTTGAAGACCCAGCCTTTTTGCCGCACACGGCTCTTCCCTCGGATCAAGAGCACATTCTCCCGCCAAACTACACCGGACAACTCCTCGCAATCACCTCCTCGCCTCCTGAAAGCATCTTAACGTACTCATCTCCTCCTCCTTCAATGAGCAGCATGCGCATCTGACGCGCCCCTGCCGACAAACAAGTCTGACGCTGAAGCCGGCAGTTATTCATCACCGCTTCAGTGTCAATCGTACTGCGAATGCCGTCTTCGTCTTCCCCGCCAGCCCCTGCCAACTCGACTATGGCTTTTCCGCTCCCCCCTCCCTCTCCAACTGCGGAAGCCTGTGCGGAGCTTGCGTCTCTCACCGTTCGCGTCTTCTCTCCTGCAGTCGTCTCCTCCATTCGAGACATTTTTGTGCGCAACGAACGTTTGAACGTGAAGGAGCATCTTCCTCTTTTAGGCACCCTTGCTGTCCGTCATGTGGCTCTGATGATGCAGGAGGATGATTTCAATCCCGACATTCGAGACAAAGGTGAGGACGAGTCCCCGCAATCTCCCGTTCTCGTCAAACACGAAAGTCGAATTAAGAATGAACGAATGGTGGACCTTGATAGAATGAGAAGCACACCACCTCTTACCAGACGATTGCACCGCGAGGGCAAAAGAACAAGTTCCTACAGGGATATTGCGTACTACGCCGTCAGACAAAAACGCATCATTCCAGAGGCGTTACCTACAGGAAGGGAAGAAACATCAACCGCTACTACTGCGGAGACACGGCCTGTGAGAAGACTGTCCATTCGCTCTATCCGCCTGCCGAAAGATAGTGCTCTGAGGAAAACAAGGTCAATCGCGATAATTGAGCCAAAATCTACTCCGCCCGATGGAAAAGAAGATGCGAAGAGTATCGACGAGAATTTCACAAAACGGCGGCATTCACCCGAATTTTGGAAAGAGAAGCCCGGAAAAGAGAATATTCATGTCAGGCCGAGTGTTTCAAGCCCGTCCGCAGGTGCGCCTGCGGGTGGGTCTCTTTCTTCCTCAAGGCCCCCTTCCCTCTTCAACAAAGAGAGTCGAAACCGAAGACCAAATCTCTCAAACACACCGGGAAAGAGTGCGCAAGGCACTCAAGGAAAAATTTCTGGTCGAAACGCTCCAATAAGCAGGCTGGTGCAGATGCGAAAGCAAAGGCTTGAGAAGAAGGGAAAGCAAACTAGATAGGCGCATCGTTTCGCACAACTCGTTTGCATTTCTTTATTTTGTTTCTATCTCGCTCAGCTTCTGCACATGGCACACATGAAAAAATCTTGCGACTCTGATGTAGTCAAAACTTATCGACTCATGGTTCCTAGGGTAGCAGGCATTTCTACTCTACTTCGCCTCGGCTTTATTGGTTTGAAGGTACCAGCTTGAAAGTTGATAGAGACGAAGTAAGTATGATGCTTTATGCTCTTTCGACCCTCGGTCTTTTATAGAAAAGTCTGGCCTAGTTTTGAGTTGCTCGAGACCATGCAATTCTCTTTGAAGCAGTCAAGGAAGCAGCTGTTTTGGTATTCTTCTGGCACCCTCCCTCTTCTCGAAACGTTTCGGGATCTTTATCGAAGTTTTTTTGAGCAATTTGCGTATGCCTGTGTTATCCACTTTTTCCCTCTCTCTTAAGTCGAGGATTAACCTCGAGAACTCTTGCGATCGTGCTCACCTGAACCCGAATAACTGAATTTGTGAATCAAGTCGTTCTAAGCCTTTTCCAATAGCATGTGCTTTTTCACGTTGGGGATCAGCAATTAACAGAAAGGAAACTACACATGATTGAGAGCAGATTCTCTTTCCATGAGACCACGAGCCAATCGTTTCCACAGGTCCGCAACTGCTGCGTCTACATCAGGACCTCCGAGAGCGTTAATCATAGCGTCAAGATGCAAGATTCTAGCCCGCTTATTCGCAGTTGGGCGTGTCGACATCATGAGCCCAGTCTTTGTTGTGCTTCGCATCATAGCGTGCTGGAATCGTCGAGTGTCATCTTTTGAAACAGGGAAAGGCCAGAACTCTGGCAAATATTCATCTCCATGGTGTCTTTCACACCAAGCCCGCATAGCGAGTAGATACGAAGCTTTGCGGTGATAAAGAATCGAGGCCACGTCTCCAGACCACATGTTCAGTTCGAGAGAATTTGGATCAATGAAGAGGTCACCATCCACCGTGATAAGAACTTTTTTTCCGACATGAATGTATCCCACCTTCGGTAGCTTAGCAACCACGTCGGGACCAACAACAATTCTCCAATGAATGGGAACGTTTTCATTGTACACATTCCAAAATTGACGATTTCCGACGCGCGGGGCTCCAAAGGTTGAGACAAATATCTCCTTTCTTGTCATTCCGAGCCTGAGGAAAAGGTCCATACTGCACACCGTGGCTAGGGCGCCCCCAAGCGAATGTCCTGTAAGGAATACTGGCCTTCTCTTTTCGTCTTGGAGCTTCTTGATAATCGAAAGAAGCCGTGGTCCAACGGCCGAGTACGCAACTGCAAATCCTTTATGAATTTTTGCTCGTCGCCAATCTCTGGTCTTCAAGATAGGGTTCTCTTTTGCAGCAGCGTCTCCCTCTGGGTCTTCCTCTCCAATTTGTGTGGGCAGCAGAGCGCGAGCATTAGAATACACTAAGTTAACATCTGTTTTGAGGTTCTTTGAAGATGTCGTTCCCTTAAAAGCAATCACAATTCTGTCTGCTCCGTCTACCACAAGCACATGAGTGTCAGAAACCTTGTCTTTGATGTAGTCTGCGACAGTGAACTTGAACACGTCTTGCGTTAGCTTGAAGTTATCGACCTTCGGAGTGTCCCAGTAGTATACGAGCCATGCGAAATTAAATAACGTGACATGCGTTTGCATGACAAAGCAATTAACACTGAGGTCTGAGACTACTCCGTGCAAAGAAGGAGGTTCGCGTTTGCGGTATGTGATAGGCTCAAGCTCGGACTTTTCTGCTCCAACCCCCTTTGGCATTTGGGGTACAAACCATCCTTTTAGGCCTAGTGCATCTGCCGGAAGATTGACATAAGCTTCGACTGTTGCATAGGCAAGAAGAAGTAGTTGAATACCGAGGACCATGTCATGAACATCGAAGTAGGAATACCGCAATCCCCTCAGCGTGAGTGCGAACACGTTGATTCCGTTTGGAAGACCGGCCAAGAGTATAATGTAAAGCACTGAGAAGACAGCGTAAAATGTTATGTTGTGGTACATAAAGAAGCGAAAACCGATTTGCTTTGTTCGATATTGTAGATAGTCAGCATTCTTCAGGACTTTCTTCGTTTTTTGGTATTCACGGCAAATGAACGCGGATAGGATTATTTCGAAGACAAATGTGAGGGTAGCATAAACAACTCCAGGCAGCGGCCACGTGTTCGCGGCACTGTACACGGATACCATACCGACGAAAGTCGCAAAGAAAAGCTCCGCAGGGTAGATCTTGTACTCGAACGTGACGACAATTTTGGAAGCGATATAGATAAGTAGCACGACGACTTTCGGGACGTAAAACCTCCAGTCTATCTTTGACTCCAGGATACCATAGGAATGAATGCTAGCCCAGATATAAAATACCGTTGTCGCAGTAAAGCCACTAACCCTCATAACGTTGGATACAACCAAAAGATTCTGACACCATTGCTTTTGCCCCCATTGCAACCATACTTCATTCCTGTGAAGAAGAACATCATGAATCTTCTTGATCGCAGGAAAGGGATTCATGTATATTACGATTGAGAAAAGAAGAAAGATGACCCAAATTTGTTCTTTTGTTCGGGACGTTGGTATCATTCCCATTATCCTCGTTGTGAATATAATACACAATGCAAGCGCATATACGAACAGCGGGATAGCTGCCACTTGATTAATCCACACTATAGCATCTGGGGGATCGTATTGACGGATATCGAATTTCCATCCTTGGTCTTTCGGAGTAATCCAGACATCTAAGAAGGCTGTATTCATCAGGACAACGAGTAGGAGAGTGAATAGTACACCTACTCCAACAAAAGCATGATGCCACCGTAGAATGGATTCAATCTGTCTCGCTTGGACAACTTCGAGCTTCGTGAATTGTCGTCTTGCAAGCGCCAAACTCAGATTTTCCGCTGCATCGGTATTTAAAGTCAAGTTCATGATATCATCTTCGTCGCTAGAAACATGCTCTGAAAATCGCTCATCACTCTTGAACGCGTCCAGATTTCCCCCCTCGAAACGAGGAGAACTTTTCTGTTCGGCATCTTGGTATGCACTGGTGTCCTTCGATGTTGAGTGAACATCGACTTTTGGGCCTTCGCTCATTTTCTGCAGTTATGCTTTTGGGTGCTTGTCAGCTTGGCTTGATCTCGGTAGATGCTTCTTTGACGACTACGAGTTACCAGTGCGGCCGTTCTGACAGAACTTGCCAGTCCGAAAAGAATCTCTGGTCTAAAGTCGATTCAGTAGAAATATAGCGATTTCACAGCTTCATGAATCTTGTCTCAGAAAAGGAATAATATCATATGATGCTCATGCGTGCCTGCGATGGGATAATTTTTTCCTGGTCGTAGATGCGACTGATACTTCAAAAAGCTGCATCATTAGTGTTGCCGCTTAATTGAGGAAAGCAGGTGTTGGGGTGAACCAAAGGATTTAGTGTCCTCTCCTGAGTATTTCGTCACGTCACTTCCACAACGTGTACGTCATACCTCCTTACGGATTGGTGACATATTCGTTTTTGTCTTTTTATTATGAGGCAATCAGTAATGATCAGGGCATATTTTCTTTACCTTTTTACGAGGGGGCAGAAGGTTGCACTATGATTTCTTGGGATATTTACGTCTGAGAGTTGACCGATGCGAAGAAAACGGGGTTTGCAAAGGCAAAATTCTTGCTGATCGGAAAACTGCTGTCATGCTGGTGAAAGTGAGAGAAGTTGGGGTAAGAGTGACCTGCGGTACTTTGCCCATGAAAATGCAACAGTTTTACGCGTGATTTGCAGCCTACAACATTTGGAGAAGGCATCAGTTCGATGGAACTCGTCATGAGCTCTTGCTGTGATTCTTTTTACTGTTCGTTAGCGTTAAGACCGATGGCCTTACAAATTTCTCTTCAATGTCGTAAAGAAGTGTTCCTCAAGTCTTCCCTCTTTTAGAAGATTCTTTGTGAGGAAAATTGCATGATCAGACATGAAGCTTCGCTCGGGGAAAAGATCATGGATATCTGCGTGCAGCTGGCGAAGCACTGTACGCACTACTGTAGCACAGTGCTGTGGCATGCGCTGAATGTACTGTAAGTGAGCGCATACTGTAAATGAGTAGCATGTAAATCTTGAAAAGCAAAAAATTCTATTCCATTCAGAAATGTCTAAATATCCAATAAAACAAGCCATACCCGAGGCATGTTAACTTTCACCCACAGGTGCTCTTGTTGTCCTGGCTGGTTGTGGTTGTGACTGCGTGGTCATTGGGATAGCCCTCTTTTTCCATCCGTTTCTGCTGTTGCATCGAGCTCGGCGATCAGCTACCCTAAGACACCCCCTCGCGAAACAAAACATCACGTCATGAGCGGAGAGACAAAGGTCGCCGACGTCGCGGCACAGTTGCGGAAAAAGATTCCCGTCAATCGCAGCTCGCTCATGAGAGCCTTCGAATGGTACCACAAGACGTACATCATCCCAGGCCGCTTCACGCCGGTCGTTCACGCGATGATCGGTATCGGCGTCATTGGCTATGCTATTGAATATCCTCATCTCAAGCACGAGCAAGAAGAGGAAAAGAAGAAGAAAACACAAATTTAGAGGCTAGCATTGGCGAAAGGGGGTGCGATTTGGCGCGTTTGTACGTGGCGCTTTGACTCGAATTGCCTGTTTATGCGCAGCCCGTTCTTCGAGGCGTTGCGTTGCATTGTATTGGTTGCAAAGATACGGCGAGTGACATTGTCGGCAACTGGAAAGACCTCGCGAATGCGTGATAGTTGAAGATAGCTGAAATCGGCGATGTTTTCGTAAACGTAACTTCATGTGAATGAGAATCAGACGAACATCGGTCTCCTCGGTCCGTGGGCAATGATCCCAGCGCGTCAATGATCTAAGCTTGTAACGAATAAACCAACAGGTTTTTGTCGAGCGTTTTTGAAGCTTTGCTTGCTCTTTGTCGTTCAATTCTGCTGTATAGCGTAGGGTTACCAAAGACACACATCCACATCGCCTTGTTGCCGCGAAGAGCTTCACAAAGCATATTCCCACACCGATATGAGCGCCGAAGTAGGTCTAGGCTGGAAAAATTATTGTGTTTACTTATAACGAGCGAGTCGCCTCCTCGTGAGAGTTAGTTCTGCAACGAGCGAGCCGACACGACCCTCTGTGGCCGTCTAGTGGGCGCCGGCAACCTCAGCGTCGCGCCTATCATGATATGATCGGAGGGCTCATCGGCATCCGGCAACGGCCCTTCGAAGCTGTCTCGCTTCGGCAACCGTATGACATCGACGATGTCAACATCCCTTGTACAAAAAAGGTAATCCAGAGTCTCGATAAAAGTAGCCTGGTTTTCGACCTTAGCATAGTTGGTAAAATCGGGCTCCTCGCCTAGAATCTCCTTGTACGCGCTCTTCATGGGCGTAAGCGGGGCGGGAAACCACTTTTCCGGGGGTGAGCCGTCCGGTGTAGATACGGGAAAACTGCTATGCTTTGGATCAACGTCGCCAGACAAAATCATGCTGTAGGATGCATCATCGGGCTTGATATTAAAGTCGCCGGCAAGCACGCCTAAATCTTCGCCGCACAGCCTCTGAAACGTCCGCACCGCAAGCGCCGCGTGGATAAGCATCACAGGCGGAGACCAGAAAATGCAAGGCATGTGGTACGTGGCGACGCATAGCTTTGCGCCGTTGGTCCTGGAGCGCAGCCTGGCAAAAATGAAGCGGTTATACCTCCCGCGCGCATGGTCCCACGGGTCCCTCTTCGCAATGCGGTTGGGCCTCTTAGGTCCGAAAAGGGCGTTTGCGGCGCGCTGCAGACGGCCGCACACGTTGGCGATGGCCTTGGCGACGCCCTCGGGGCGGCGCTTGCTCGGCCAGCCCATGCGATCAGTGAGTCGCTCAATGCGCAGGTCGACAGCTTCATACAAGTCAAGCGGGAAGGCGAGGCCCTCGCCCATGTAGCCGTTGAAGTAGCTGCCATGCGAGGCGAGGAGTAGATGGAAGCCGCGATTCGCGAAAAAGGTATGCAGATGGCCGCTCCAGGCGAGCGAGACCTCCTGCAAGCAAATAATACTCCGCGAGGCGACTGGACCTTCTAACTTTGCGAGGATGCGTCCTAGCCGTGTTGCGGCGCGCAAATTGGAGGGGTCGCAGGCCGGAAAGTGGGTGGGATCTGCCAGGGAGGAGGAGAGGAGGTTGTACGAGACGATGCGGGAGAGGACAGGGGCGGAGACGGACTTAATGGCGAGCTGCTCGAGCTCGGGCGAGGAGGCGAATAGTCCCTCCGGGCCGTTGTCAGCGGGGAGAGAGCCACCGCCGCTAGTGCCGTTGGCGCTCGAGCCGGAGCCGCGCAAGGGGGGGCGCGAGCGAGAGGAGAAAGGACGAGAGGAAAATTGCGGGGCGTGCGAGGGGCGCCAGTGACGGAAGGGAAGGGCGGCGCGTAGGTGATAGAGGGAGTTGGAGATGGGGAAGGTTAGCGACGGGAAGGGTGGGAGGAAAGAGAGGTGGCGGGCGTGAAGGACGGACATTGCAGGGATGGGGGAAACTCGGCTGGCGGTTTCGCGTGGCGACAGGGGGAATAGTGAGGGTGAGGGTTGACGAAGAGCAAAAGTCGTGTGCTGAAGTCATAAGTGTGGTGCGGCGGTGAGGGAGGTGAGAGGGCGGGATCTGCGGGGTGGAGCCGTTGGGAAAGGCGTGTGATAGGTGGTGGCGGTGCTGGGAAGGGATCGTGGCGAACGAATGGAAAGGTTGCAATCTATCAATCTCCGGCTGGAGATGGTCGCGATCAATTCTAGCGGATCCGGATTGCAGAATTGCAATGAATCGCTGTGCCGTGGAGGCATAATTGGCTCTTCTTGCGACCAGCCCGTCTCTCTGGTGTCGAGCTTTACAAAATCCCAGCGATAGAGCGGGGGGTCATGTCCGGTTTGCAACGGGATGGGCGAGCCGCTTGTTGCCGAAATGAAGTGCATACTTTAGCTCCCTCATGTGAAACTCAGGCTGGACTGCAAAATGCATGAATTAAACTCGGCAATAGAATATATATATATCTTTTCATCGGTTGCATGTTGGGCCACAATGGAAGTTGGAGAAGTCCATGAAAAGTTACTCTACTCGAAGATATCTACTTGTTTTCTTTACCTGTGTCGTTGGATTGAAGTGCGTCAAGCGAGCAAAATTCAGGCTTCAGAAAAATGCCTGCCTCGTAGAATATTTTGAGTAGACCTCGCAACTTGAATCACGTAATGTCCTGCTTAGTCATTTTTCTCGTCTAGACTGCTCCTCAAGCACACTGACGACTATTCGCACTGAATCAATTTTAGAGTTAAAAGTACTTCTAAAACGACTCTCTGTCCTCATACGAAGCGTCATATCGTCCAGACACCAGCCGTGAAGCTTTTGCGGCGAAGGACGCTCCACGTAAGCGACGGCAATTCTCGAACACGGGCCACGTCGCCTAAGACGACGCGTCGAGCGCGGGAATAGCAGGGAATCTTCCACTAAGCTTTACGCCCAGCGTGACGTCAAAGTGTCCAGCAAGCGGGCGGTTAGCGACACGTCGTCGGAGGTGCAAGCGCCGCGGGTCGAAAGTTCGCAGCTATCGCGGAGACCCCCGCCCGACTTGGACGGCCCCCGCACAGCTGCGGCACTCGGACGCGGCGTGCGGGTTGCCTTGGCGGCGCCGGTGATACTGTAGAGGGAGGTAGATTCGGCGAGGCCACGAGAGAGCTGCGGGCGCAGTACGTCACACGTCGGGCCGTCCTCGTCGCAGAGGGGCGGGCACCATCACACGACGGGGGCAGGTTACATGCACCCGCGCGGCATTGCGCGGCGGGGCCGTGCCATTGAGGAAGACCGCATTGCTGGCGCGTACTGCTTGAATCCGTTCCCTTGTCTTTCAGGGTGTACTGTACAGGGGGGACGCGCAATAGTGCCGCTTTCATTATTGCCACCCTCGAATTAGTGCCGCCAAAACCGGCAGACACAGGTTCTGCCACGTGTCATGCACGACGTCGTCATCGGCCACTCCTCACGCGCCTCAGCTCTTTGGTGCAATTGGTGACGTGATGGCACCTCACTCAATGACCCTCACATGAATCCTGAAAAGAGAATCAGTCTGCCAGTGATGCTATGATGGATGATTGTGTGGCTGAAGACGAGTGTGAAATACGGAGAGGCGGGCCGTACCGAGTGCTGTAGTGCTAGCAAGGTTGTTTGGGTCTTTGGAGAGTCTGGGTGTGGAGTGCGATGTGAGCAATGCCTTATCGCACTTGAGGTCCGCAAAACGAGCTTTTCTAGAAGCTAGGCATGAGAGACAGGGTCAAAGGCAACAACAGCAGACTCTAATAGCCCATTAACAGAGTTCTGGCCGGGTAGTGATTCTGCTTTCTGATTGTGCCGCTCCGAATTAGTGCCGTATTATTAGTCTTTACACAGGGCGGCACTAATGCGTAGGGTTGACTGTATCAACTTTTTTTTCCAGGTTGAAAAATCTCACGCACTGATTGAATTTCTATCCACCCCTCTCTGCCGACCCTCTTTTCTTTATTGAAGGAGGGAATGCGCAGATGCAACCACCCCGACATTTACCCGTAGCGGGAACACCTGTGTGTTCAAACGAATCACCCAACCGCAAATGATATCACCTCCTTCGTTTCCCTACAAAACCGCGTAACTTCCCTCGCATTCTCATAGCCGCACCCCCGTCTCCTGGAACCATACTCCCACTCAACTGCACCATGCGCATCCCCTTTTTCTCTTCGGCCCCACCGTCCTCCGCTACGCGCAAAATCACTCCCCTCACGCGTCTCCTCGAGCACGGTCTCAACGCCGTCAAAACCTCTAAGTACTCGCTCGTCAACCTCCTCCCCCTTGCCATCTGCGACCAATTCCGCCGCCTCTCCAACTTCTACTTCCTCATCGTCTCCATCGTCTCCTTCGTCCCCAACATTTCCCCTACCTCCCCCGTCTCCACCACCCTCCCACTCCTTGTCGTCGTCGGCTTCGGCCTCGCCCGCGACCTCTGGGAAGACCTCCAGCGCCGCCGGGATGACGCCGTCGTCAATGCCACCTCCATCATCACCCGAACGCCCGCACAGACCCCAAAGACCAGCCCTGTCACCTCGCATCACCCCAGCGCTGCTTTCTTTGAACACCAGCCCACCCTCGTCGCGGTGGAACATGCCTTAAGGCCGGCTAGAGACCTCGCCGTCGGCGACGTCGTCCTCGTCTCTCGCGATGACCCCTTCCCAGCAGATCTTCTTCTTCTCCATGCTGCCGCGGCCCCCTTGTGCTACGTTTCCACCGCCAATCTGGACGGCGAGTCCAACCTCAAGCGCCGTGCTGTCCCGCCGGTTTTGCAAGTTGCCAAGCTTCCACCACTCCACGAAATCACCGTCACAGTTCCCGCCCCGTCGGATGACCTGTACGCGTTCTCCGCGGCGATGCAAGTAGGAGGCGGGCAGCCCACCTCGCTCTCGGTGGATAATCTCTTGCTGAGAGGTTCGATACTGAGGAATACCCCATACGTGTATGGACTCGTCCTGTACAATGGCCAAGACACCAAACTCGCGAGGAATATGCGCAACCCACCGAGCAAGCTTGGTGGCATTGAACGCATGATGAACCGAGTTGTCGTTGGTTTGTTTTCAATACTCGCCGTCGTCACCGCCATATTTGCCTTCATTGCTGGCCATTGGCAGGGAGAAGAGGGGGCCGACCAGTGGTACATGGGAAAGGACAGATTGCTCTCGGGGTCATCAGTTGGCTTCCGATCGCTTGGCACGTATCTCATTCTATTTCATTCGTTCGTGCCCGTGTCGATGTTCGTCACCCTCGAGTTTGCCAGGATCATCCAAGGCTGGTTTATCGGCGAGGATAAGAAGATGCGGACGAAGGGGGTGTCAGTCAAGAGCAAGTCCAATAACCTCAATGAATCACTCGGATATGTCGAGCATATCTTTAGTGACAAGACCGGAACGCTCACGGAGAATGTTATGCGATATGTAGCCTGCAGCGCAGGGGGCAATGTTTACGACGAGCGCAGAGCGCCAGGGTGTCTTGCGAGCGCAATCAGAGACGGTGCGGAGGAAGTGCGCAACTTCGTACTGGCAATGGCGGTGTCGCATGATGTCGTTCCTGAGGTGGACGAGGCAGAAGGGAGCGTGAGCGTGCCAGACGATGGGCTGCGGGGAATGCCGGACTTTCAGGGCGAAAGCCCTGATGAAGTCGCGCTGGTTGAGGCAGCGTTCGCAGCGGGGATAGAACTCCAGGGGAGAACGGCCGATACGCTTGTCGTGAAGGAGTCGTGGGCTGAAACGGCGAGCACGTATACGATCCTGGCAAATCTGGCGTTCACATCAGAAAGGAAGCGGATGAGCACTGTGTTGCGCTGTCCGGACGGGCTGATCCGGATTTTCACGAAGGGGGCCGATATGGTCATGCTGGATTTACTTTCGCGCAGTCCAGCTTTTGTGAGCCTCAGTCGAGATACAGATAGCTTTTCCAAAGAGGGTCTGCGAACACTGGTGTTCGGGTCTCGTGTTATTTCGGAGAATGAGTACGAGCAGTGGAAGTCCTACTATGCAGAGGCGACAACAGCGATAGAGGACAGAGTGGAAAGGGAGGCCGAAGTGGCGGCTATGATCGAAAAGGATTTGGACTTCGTCGGGGTGAGTGCCGTCGAGGACAAGTTGCAAGAAAACGTGGCCGATACTGTCCAGTTTCTTCGAGAGGCAGGAATGAGATTCTGGGTTTTGACGGGAGATAAGAGGGAAACCGCTGAGAATATTGGATATTCATCTAAGTTGATAGACAGCAAAATGGCGATCATTCACTTGCAATGCGAATCTTCAGCCGAACTGCATGAAAGGCTCTCACAGCTTCTGCGGGAATGCAAGGATAACTCTTCAAGCAATGCTATACCCAACGCCTTTTTACGTCGCTCACAGAATGGCAGTAGAGACAACGCCCAGTCCAACCCTCGTGCTCACCATCGCCGTCGTTCAAGCCTTGCCAGCGGCAATTTAATTGCGGCCTTGACCCTGCGATCCATTGATCATGGTGTAGAATTTGAAATGGGAATGGTTATTGACGGTGAAACTCTTGGCTTTATTGAAGGTCAGGAGCTTGAGGAACTGTTCTTGGAGGTTGCAGACCTTTGCAAAACAGTGATTTGTGCAAGGGTGACTCCGATCCAAAAGGCAAAGGTTGTCAAGCTTGTCCGCACGTATGACCACTCAAGCACGCTTGCGATTGGTGATGGTGGCAACGATGTTTCAATGATCCAAGAGGCACATATTGGAGTTGGCATAAAAGGCAAGGAAGGATCTCAAGCGGCTCGGGCCGCGGACTACTCGATGGGAGAATTTCAGCACTTACGGCGACTTCTTGCGGTGCACGGGCGATTTTCTTACATCAGAACTGCGGGGATTATCAACCTTTCGTTTTACAAAAACATTTTCTTCACTACTACGCAGATTATGTTTCAGTTTTTCTGTTTTGCATCTGGCACAACATTTCACAACCAATGGATTGTCACAGCCTGGAACAGTATGTTAACACTTGCTCCGCCATTCTTGTTTGGTATTTTTGAACGAGATTTGGAAGAAGACACCGTGATGCGATTTCCGTCGGTTTACTCTTCAAATCGCAACCATCGTCTTTTCAGCATGAGAACTGTGCTAGAGTTTACTATTGCCTACAGTATTTGGCATGCAACTGTCGTCTTCTTCATGACATACTTCTACTTTGGACGAGTAGAACCCATCGTGTTTTCGAATGGACATGATGCAGGATTTCGCCTGGTTGGATTGGCAGTATCAACCATGGCAGTTCCTATTGCGCTATCAAAGTTTTTGTTGAGCAGTCACTTATGGACCGCGGCAGTACTTATTGGTTGTGGTGTTTCGTTTGGTTTATTGTGGGCTCTTATCCCAGTATTTACTAGCCTGGCTCATGAATATGCACTAGAAGGGGTCCTTGCCAAGCTTTTTTCAAGCCCAACCTACCACTTGCTATGGCCGATCGTCTTTGCTACTGTTTTTCTACCCGATTTTTTCGTGATCATGATTCGGATGAATCGCAAAGCAAATATGGTAGGTCATCTACAACGGTGGGAGACTCTGCAGTCAGCGAGAATGTCAAAGAGTCCTCATAGTTAGTACCTCCATGCCATACTTGTCCATAAGATGCTGACAGTAATATTTCAAACATAGACTTTGCCCACACAACGTTAACTTATGTAAAAAAAAATGGCGACAACTAAGAACTCGGTAGCTGCCGAGGAGCTTAGGATTTTCAAAAGATGACGCGGTTTTCTCTGTAGAGACCCGCTCGCAACATGTCAGCGAAGAACCATAGACCTCCTTGTAGCTTGGCAATGAGAAAATTCGCCTGGGTAGCTATATACAGATTTTTAACAATCGACAGGTCCGGTTTTGATTTGAAGCTTTACGTTTCATCTCTATCTTTAAATGGAAGTTTTGACGTCGGAGACAGAAGACTGTCTACCAACGAAGTAAGTCCTATATTCTCATCGCTTAATTCAGCATATCTTCGTTCCATATTTTGGAACTGGACTTTGCTTTTGATCCTGCTGCGCCTCGCACTTTCCCTATTTCTTATTGCTCGCTTAAGTTTCATCTCCTCTGCTTGTAGCTTTGCATGCTTGTCACCAGATGATTTCCCAGTTATTGATTTTTGTCTTTTCTTTCGTTGCATCGACAAGTGAGAGCTCTCATTTGCTTCATGCCTTGGCCTTCCTCTGCACCTCTTATCCTTGCTTATTAGCTCAATGTGATCTGACAGAATAGCGCTCCCATTGCATAAGATGCCTTTGGGCTGAATGGTGGACCTCACAGCCACTCTTGAAGCTTTGGCAATGTTGCCGAAGCCACCGTTTGATATTTCCACGTCCGTGATAGGCGCATCGAAAGGGAGCTTCCTTATTTTACCCATCTCACTCTTTGCCGCAGGCCAGCATTGTCTAGAAGGCGTATCGAGTATAAACTCAGAAATGTCCGAACTGTTCAGAAATTGATCTGAACGACCAGGAGAGGAATGCGGTGACGTTGTGGAAGTGGAAAGCTTTGATAGATTCCCTCGTTTTGAGGTTCTTTCGTTGTCCTTATTTTCCCGAACGTTCATTTTCGACACTACCTGCGGGGTCTCGGCGATCGCGATATTTTGACATGGCGTTCTCAGCGGATCAAAAGATTCTCCATGTGGAGTACAATCCGAATCAACGCCAGTGTAAAACATACCTAGACTGGTATTTTGCGTCCCTTCGACCTCACCCATTAAATCCTGGGCATTACTTGCGTAAATGTTTTCAGTAAATAATGGAATCTGATCACCTGTCCTCTCCTGAAAATTAGATAACCCCACACTGTTACGAAAGAGATCGACGTCTCTTGGGGACTCTGTTCTACCCAAAATATGCTGATTGCATGGTGCAGTCCTCGTCTCTCGAAGCCCTTTATCTTCCCGCTTCATGTCTCTTAACATACTCTTCTCGCCTTTTCTGGGAACTCTCCTGGATAAGGTTGACTGAACATGACGGTTTGTAATGTGGGCTTCACGGCACTCTGGCACGTTTTGTCCTTCACGAGACTCTCGTTTTGTCAAAGGTTTCAGAACATTCGCAGTCTGCCTCGGTGAGATGAGTGAGAATCCATTCTCTAGAGCATGCGCAACTTCTCTTCGTCGAGAAAGAAAAACTGCATGCGCTTGCACTATTTGCTCTGCGTCGCTCTCAGTCCCAGACAAACATTCGTCGTGCTTGTGGTGCACATGAAGAGTCGCATCAGCACCGAGTTGAGATGTATGCGAAGGATTAATATCAGGCAAATTCCTTGCTCGGACATTTTCAGAGCTTGAACCTATGTCCGAGGCGCCAAGGCTTGCATGATCTCCATTTCGCGACAATACTTCTTTGTCAGTAGTGCAGTTTTGATCATGATCCATAGTGCCAAGAATTTTTAAAGTTGATGGTATAAGCTTATCGCAAGGTATCACAGAGTCACAAGAGTTCAAAGTAGCAGAGAAGTTCAGCAGGTGCTACGAAGAGAAAATACTCCCAACGGACATCCGAGAAGTATTTCCGAAAGACTGAAATTGGACTTTCAGAAGACGTCTCCTGCAGGCGGCTGCAAGGAAATAGTTAATATTACTACACTACACGCCTAATTAATATTTCTTGGACCAGTTTCTCTGAAAAATACCGCAGCAATTGTATCTGCAAAGAATTCGAATTGGTTGACCATTTCATTGCTCTCATGAGCTGTGTTCGCAATTCTGTACAAAAGCCATAACTTATTTGGAACAAGACGGCAATCCTTCGGATTCAGTTGAAATCGCACTTATCCTGAACCATTGTCAAGAGTGCAAATGTTTTGATTCACAGGGCAGATAAAGAGCTGACAAAGGTAATTTCGGAAGCATTCGAGTGAATATCCAGATGCCGAAATCGTCGCACCCTTAACGATCTTCATTCCCGCATTTAAGGCAGGTAATTGGCTTTTCGATGTCGTTAGTATGAGAAACCGCTAACACCATGCAATATTGGAATGGTTTCAGTCATTAGTAGGAAGCGGGACTGATAAAAACGGAAGACTGTCTATTGCGCAGAACTCTAGACTTCAACTGCAGCCAATTATTCAGTGCTCTGACGAACAAAGTTAATCTTCATTCTACACATGATATATCGTAAAGCATAAAATGTGAGCTTAGTTATACATTTTGGTAGTTCACGTGCGGCAACGCATCCAACGGTTCCTCTCTAAACCATGTATCTCTTTGAAAACGCCTCTTCGACTCTACTCTACAAACGTGTTTTGTTCTCACAAGAAGAGGGGCCTTTCAAATGAACCTCCAGGCTGCCAGGCTATACGTGTTATAGAAATGAACCAATTCAGGCATTGTCGTGTGAGAATGATGCTTGATGGCTCTGATCCAGTCGTCATGTAAGACTGGCTTATCAATGAGTTGGCTTTCAATTCTGAGAACATTAAGCCTCTCCACGGTCGTGGCAAGTATCGATTCCATTTAGTCTACACAAGATATGATGCCCTCCGTAGAAGAAACTCTTGTCCTTGATTATTTATCACGGGGTTGGCCTCTTATATCAATAAACTACTATCTGTTTCATACAATTTAGTATCAACTTCTCTTTACAGATGAATTATAATCTGTGGTTGTCGACGTCTTTGCGACCAAAAAGCAGTGACAGGTAGTCAGCGGAGGAGTAGGAGAGGTTATCTGAAGAATGACAGCATTCATGACTCTGGCGCTAACGGCCGTGGGGAGCAAGATGTACAGACCAGTCCCATCGCTAGGTAGCAGCAAATCGAGCAGAAATTTCATGGGTGATTTCTGCGGTTTTCTTCTCAATTCACGAAACTGTATCAATAAAAAGAGAGCGTCGCCAGTTCAAATGAATGGGTTTCGTTTTTGCATTTGCTCTCGGGAACCAGAGAGATGCCTTTTCAAAGACAAAAATATTCATGAAAACTCTTGGCTCATTCTTAACCCAGCACATATCACAAACTTCGACAGGGCTCGCAACTCTTAGGCGAGGTGCTCTTTTTCTTCAGCAAGCGGGGTAAGTGCATTTGTGAAGACACTGGAACATTGCTATATTTTTGCTGTGGGTGAGAGAAGTCATATCGAACTGTTGTTGAGGCGACCTAGAAACAGGCACCGATATCTCATAGTTCAACAAAACCTTAGCCAACACGCAAGGTAGAGAATAACCAGCCGTAGCAGTTCCACAACCACGAGCTTGCGCCAAGGTCTAGAATATCAAAGGTCCCAAAATGGTCAAACTATTCCCCGTCGTCGGTACCCTACTTTCCATTGTTTCACTTGTCTTACTTGCAGTTGGGGCAGCGACAAATAAGTGGGTGGTCATGGACAAGACAAATACCGAGTTAAATCCAACGACTGTGAATTCGAAACTTGGCATTCAAGACAAGCAAGTAGGAGTTACATCTTCAACTTCAGATATTACGTACAGCGTGTCTCATTACGGACTTTGGATTGGATGCCACGTAGAACATAAGGGGGCTGTTTCTTGCTCCTACATTGGCTCCCGTTGCTTCTCGAATGTGTGCTGGATCCGGAAGACATCTCGGTCAAGAACGAAGACATGCCTTGACACTAGGGTAAGCAGCGTTCCGAACTGCACTGCGTATCAGGTTATTCGGGCGTTCGTGACACTCGGAGCTCTGGCAATGATTTGTGGAGTTGCGACACAACTAGTTAGTTTGTTGACGGTGAATCGGTCGTTGGCGATGCTTGCTGGGTTGATCATCTTCCTGGCTGGTTTGTTTGTAATGGTGGCATTTGCGATCTTTTACAGCGAAGAGGTTGCCAAATCGGGACTACGTGGTGTTGGACACATAGGGTACAGCCTTAAACTGATAACGGCAGCATGGCCCTTGATGTTGCTGTGCGGATTGCTATCTTGCTTTGCAGCAAGTATGGGCTTACGGCACAAAGAGATATCTGATTATAGTGCAAGCAATTATTGAGAGGAGGGGGACTGCATCGGCCTGTTCAAGGCTAGAACGAAGTCGCTTCGAGTTATTAACGAGAACGGTGAAATTGGCTATCAAACCCACATGTGTGGACCATTGGTACATATGCTCTGCTGCAATTTTGTTGGTTGGTCCGTTTCAAAAATATCTGGGAGCAATCAGCGAATCCATGCATGCGGGGTAGCAGAGGGCAGATTTTTTGTAAATGGTATAATTTCGTCGAAAAAGTTTCCGGAAAACAACATACTTCTTCCAGGGCATTCTTGTCCGTGACCTCAACCCTCCCAGATTTCCCGCGGTAGCAGCTCAGCCCATCTAAGCGATTTCTCTTCCTTCGTATTGTTGTAGAGATAACTCGGCGCCATTGACAGTTGCATTTGAACTTCTGCTTGGCTTCACGTGAAGAAAAGGATCGCAGAAGGCTTGAGATGTGAGAGAACTGATGGCATTTGTTCCGCTTTGTCCAACACCTTTCTGTCCCCGCGCCCCCATACGCGGCTGGACTAACACCAAGCCCTCGCACTTGACGAGGCATTCGCGCACATATCAGCTGGGACGAAGGACGTTAACTGCAACCGCTACAGAACAGGGGAAGGGAAACAGTCAATATTTGCAAGAGCGATCAAAGTCGCTGCGTCTTCAGCGCTACTTTGAGACATTCAATTGGCGCGGACGAAAGATTAATTTTCGCGAAGACGGCCCACATGAGAATACCTTACCTGTTCTCATAATTCACGGCTTTGGCGCTTCAATTAACCATTGGCGAAACAACATTCCCGCAATAGTCGATTCCGGTAGATTTCGGGTGTATACAATCGATCTGCTCGGATTTGGGGGCTCTGACAAGACCAGCCCGGAAGAGGTCGAGTATGGAATCCCGTTGTGGAAAGAATTGGTTGTCGATTTCATCAATGCCCAGGACCATGAAGACCAATGGTGTCTCATCGGAAACTCCATTGGTTCGCTCACTGCACTGGCTGCCGCATCTGAACTCGGGGAGGAACGGGTGCGAGCTGTCGCGCTGATGAACTGTGCTGGTGGGCTGACCAGTTTCCGATATTCAGAACTCAATCCACTACAGGCGATTCTTTTGCGTGTTTTCAACACACTGTTGTTTAATCGTTTCACGGGACCTTACCTGTTCGACAATTTTCGCAAGCAGACGAATATTGCCAAAGTTCTGGAACAAGTTTACATAGACAAGAAAGCGATCTCCGAGGATTTGCTCGAAATTCTTTGTGAACCGTCTATGGATGAGGGCGCATGTGACGTTTTCCTCGCCATTCTCAATGCAGAACCGGGCCCAACACCAGAAGAGCTCTTAGCTAAGATGACTTGGTGTCCTATGCTGGTACTGTGGGGAGAGCGCGACCCCTGGACGCCGTTACGACAGGGTGTTCACCCTGGTATTCGCTTCCCGGACTACCATCCCGGAATTGATTTGCAAGTCATTCCTAACGCGGGGCATTGTATCCATGATGAATGCCCAGAAGCGGTGAATGAGATTCTCGTGCCATTCCTGTTGGAACCAAAGCTCAAACCAGCAGAGAGCAATTCCAGCGAAGGTAGTCCAACTAGCAAGGACAGCGCCATGCAGGCTTCGTAGCCACCATTCCAATAAACTAGTTTTCATATGAGGTCAAATGACGAAGCCCGCTCTTTAGGTAATGTGCGGAGGTACTGCACGCATTTTTAAGGTGTGCCTTCACGTGTACGGCTTGTGTGTTATTTTCATCCGCTTTCTGCTGATATGCCTTGTCCATCCTCGCGTGGAAGAGCCGCCGCCACTTTACATTTCGACAGACTCATATGGTCCACCAACACACTGGAGCTACATAATTAATGATACATGTCGGTTGTCTCCATCTCCCAACGTAACAGGAAAGAAATCGCCTCTTCGCCACGTTACCTACTTTCATGATTATAGCGGCCGAACCGTTTGTCTGCGGCACCCAATCCCTATCTACATTCCACTTGACGACACGAAACCGCTTGTCCAAGCTTCTACTTGCTGTGGCTTTCTCAACTTTCCGCAAGGCGCTGCGCCGTCCTTTTTGCGTCGCCTTTCATTTCCCCTAATCTCTTCCTTATTCTTGCCATTTTCAGTCTTTCAAAGAATTGCTCCCTCGCAATTGATCTAACCACTCTAATGTATTCGTCGATAGAAAGCATTCGCTTCGCAATGGCCTGATCTGCAGCATCTAACGCGTCTGTCAGAGCGGAATCCCTAGCTCTGCACTCCATTTCCTGCTCGCGCAATGCGTGCCTTGGTCTTGTGTCGACATCAATATCGGCGCCGTGCAAAGGCGGATGCCAAGCGAGCCAGTTATTGAGGTCTTCGACCTTACTTGTCTCCTCCGCTAGACTGATGCTGAGCTCCTCGTCTGCGGTGCCCGCTTCCGCAAGGGCGACCTTCTGCGATTGGAGCAGCCTTGCGCTCGTGTCTCGTATAAGCATGACATCGCGGGATTTTTCCGTTGCCGACCGGGTGAGTGCGGTATTCATCTTTGTGGAGAGATAGGATATGAAACTGGAACGTAGGTCGGTAGTGGACAGAGGGTACAGCGGTTGGTCCAATGTAAGCGACGTAGTAGGGCGTACTGGTGGTGGTCCATCGGGTCGTGGTTGCGGGCGTGGGAGGCATTGAGGCGGAAGCTTTGAATATACGGGGGGCTTGGTCTCAAATGCCTGGACGAGCGAGCGAACAAGACCGAGGACGGACGATGTGTCAGGTTTCCATTCTGACAGGTAGGGCATATAGACAAGCCCGTTAGTAGAGTCTACATGCGGGTGTCTAGTTCGCAAGACCATTGCACGCGTCGGTACGACGAAAGCGAGCGGCGGGCCCACCGGATGGTACGGCATGACCCACAGATGAACAGGAATCTTGTACGGATGACCCTTGTATCGAACCGGGACGGTGCCGTGAAGCGCGAGCAACAGGGTGGAACGTCCATCTGAAGCGATGAAGGAATCGACGATGGGCCTCAGGGAAGGGAAGTGGTTGGTGGCTTCGAAGACGTCGTCAGCGACGCGGAGCTCATGATGCGCGGCGTAGGCACGGGATTGTCGCTGTGGAGGGTGTTAGTGAGACGACTTGGGGTACCGGGGAAATGGAGGAGGGCAGAGGATGGAGGATGTTTGGGATGGCACGTACGACGCTCGTGAGCAGGCTGATGTGCGCCGGGGAGCGGGCCGAGGGGCGGCGCTGCGAGAGGACGGGCGGGCCGCGATGCGCGGCGGAGGGGCCGAGAGTGGCCATGACGTTGTGCGGTGTCGCGACGAGGGGGCTCTGAGCGGGAGGCGACGGCGGGTGCAAGGGAGGCGGAGGAGGGTACGGACGGAATAGGACTGAAGAGGTGGAGCGCTGGTGAGTGTGTAGACAGAATGCCCGTTTAGCCGCGGTACACGTAGGAGGCCGAGGAGGTGGTTTCTCGCGCGCTTCCGGTGGTCGCGGGCTAACGTAGTGTCGGCCTCGGTTGTGTCTTCGGTGTCCGAAGTTCGGACAACAGAGGTGAGGCTGTTGCTGCCTGCTCCTCACTTTTGTTTACAGTGGTTTACACGGCAGTGAGGTCACCACTCATTGGCTTTTGCCGGAACAAGACATACTGTTGTCATTGTTTCTCTCAGTTTCTTACAGTATATTTTCTACAGTACTACGCATTGCCTTACAGCTCCCTCCTCCCGTGTCCACAGTCTTTCACTTTGAATTCATGTTGGTGGGGCTTTCGTTTCGTGTCGCTCCGTTCCGCTTTGTCATCAACAAACTTTTAGTTCATGTTACGCCCTTGTTACGCTCAATGTTAGAGACAACCACTTGCTACATAATCGAATCCTCATCGTACAAATTTGACCCCATTGCCCTCCTCCGCGGCCACATCCGCCCACAGCGGTTGCCCGCCCATTTCCTTTGCAATAGTCTCGGCGTTCTCATCGACACGCTGCTCCCGCAGCACCCTAGTCACCGCCCTCAGTCTCTCCTCCGCCATCTTTCTCTTCCCCTCCACGTGCGCCGTCATCCTCTTCTCCTCCTCATCCCTCCGTTCCAACGTATTCAGTAAATGTTCCACCGAGCCCTCCGTCTCCACGCGCAGCTCATGCTCCCTGCTTAACAGCTCCTCCAACCTCGCAATCTCTCTCATGCGCCAATCCCCGCCCCCTTCCTCCTCCTCTACCTCCTCCCACCCCGCCTCCAGCCTCTCCCCCCTCGCGATCCGCCCCATCAAGTCAAACCCGGCCTCCTCAGCCCCCGGCCTCTCCTCCACCGCCTCCCGCCCACCTCCCCGGTCGCGTTCCAGCTGCACAATCCTCAACCGCAGTTCCACCACCTCATGCCTGAGCCGTTCCGCCTCCCTCTTCGCGGTCGCCAGCCCCGACCCCGGCCCATCGTCCTTGACGGCCCTGACGCGCTTGGCCATCTCATCCCTCTGCGCGTACGCCTTCTCCACTCTCCGTGCCATGCGCTTCATCGCGTTGACCTTCTCCTCCACGCACGCGCGGCTCTCCTCGGCCTCCTCGCGCGCCTTGCCGATCTCGGCGTCCTTGACGGCCGCTGCTGCGCGCAGCCGCGCCATCTCCGTCGCCGCCTCCTGCAGCTCGCCACGCAGCCGCTGCACTTCCGCCGCCCCCGGCGCCTGCTGCAGCCCCGGCGCCTGCTGCAGCACCGGCACGCCGCTCGTCCCCGAGTGGTACGACAGCGCCGACACCGCGCGCGCGCTCTGCATGCCGCGCACACCCCCGCTCACCGCCTCCACCGTCCGCCGTGAACACCCCGCCACTCCGCGGGACCCCGCGCTTGGCATCCCCCGCTGCAAGATCGACGTCGTCCCGGACGGCGACGGAGAGACGAAAGGGCCCGCGGGCGCGCGCGGACGCCGCCCGAAGCGCGAGAAGACTGGCACGGATGGCATCGCGCAGGCTGTCAGGCTGGCCTGGCACTTGCGAGTGGAAATTGGAGCTGATGTTCGGCGTGAGGAAGGGTTCGGTTGATGAGGAAAATGCTTCGGAGAGAAAGAGTGCCTCTCTCCAGAACGGTTTTAGAAGAATTGTGCACGTTGAACGACGGAGTAGCAGATAAACAATGCCAATGTAAGCGAGTGCGAAAATACGTATCTACCAGGGAGGTGGACGGGGCTGTAGGCGTGGGCATAGGCCTTCTGCTCCGTGCTTATGAGCCAAAGCTCATCGCCTTGGACACATGGGGCTTGCATAAGTGGCTATTTGCATATGTGGCACGGAGCAATGCATCGTCTACACCGGCAGAGGCAGAAATCTGTTACCCGCCATGATCGCCAAGGGAGACTACGTACTAAGTGGCCGCTGTCTCAGGAGGCTGCATACTGTATCATACGCACACCGTATAAAATAAGCTGTGCGAAAAAGCCGCCTTATCGCCCGGCAGCAGTTTGTTTTGAGGGGAGCACGTGCCTAGTTGCGAGAGGATGACTCTTGCGAACACCTATCTACTGTGGTCCTTCAGTTACAAATTTAATCGGATTGGCTGGCTGTGAAGTAGACCAGATATTTGCGCCAGTTCTGCATTTGCCAGTTTCAAAACTCTTGCGCCCGCACTTAACCGCTGTTTGGCCTAAGATGGATTCTAAGCCACAATTTGAATGCTGCCGGCAGAGCGGGAAGTCTTCAAGCTGAAGGTCATGAGATTCCAACAGAAAAGTATTGAAAACGTTGAAGTCCAACCAACAAAGCGTCCGTTCCACTGCCCAGGCCTTTCTCGGTAGATATAAGGTACTCTACACTCCTTACGCGCCTGTGAAAACGATGCAGTCGTTCGCTAGCCTGTCGCATGATTGCTGGCGAGGGTCTCAGCTATCTCGTCCAGAAGCTGTGCAGGGACCTGACCTTACAAACCGAATCCGCTTGTCAAGGGAGCATACCGTACAACATGGCACGCGCAAGGCGGAGAGTCGGGGTCGTTGCTCGCAACAAGGCATCTCGAGATTACGTGTGATTTTTGAATTTGGCGGCAAAAGCGTGAGTAGCGGTGTTTTCGTACGATCTACAACGCGATTTGAACCTGGTGTGTACAGTACGTAGATGCCGTACGTTCCTGTTTCCGCAGAAAATACGCGGGAATACCGAACCCGCAAACTTGCAATCAACATACAGGATGTGATTTGCCGCTGGGCACGTACTGAAGACTTCCACTGTACTGATACCGTCCAGTAAGTAGGTTTGCCCATGGGAATGCTTGTCCCCCTCGTGTTGTCTGGTGCTTCGAGGCGTTACGCTCAAAGACGTGCGAGCGCGGTACGAAACTGCCTTGCCGTTACGTTTTTCTCGCCGTGCAAGACAATGCAGTGTATTGTAGCCAGTCTGCAGTGCTGCGGAATGTGCAAGGCGCTGGAATCTTTGACAATTTTGAAGGAGGCTGGTCCTTCCCGCGGTGGATGTGGCTGCAATGCGGTAGAATATACTGTACCCTTGGTACACGACAGCACTGTACGTGGTATTAGACTCGGCGCGGCACGGCGCGGCGTGGCTGGAAAGCGACCGTGTCACCGGCGAGAAGTCCCTCGCGACAGATGATTAGTGAAGGTTGTCCACCGCCGAGATGTAAGTCCGACCCTTCGATGAGCTGGATACGTATAACGTGCTCATGCGCTGTACTGTAGTGTGCTCGCGCAAGACGAAGACATATCACCGTAGTCTATCGCTGTGGTCTCCGCCTGGAGGAGGCGTCTTAGAACTCGTCTGTGCACAGTAAATTATGTGCCTATGCCCCGATTTCCCTGTACTCGAGCACTGACTGCGCGGCACATGTATAGTTGTCGGAACCTGGCCTGCCATCGGTGTAAGGTTACAAGGGGTTGCAAGCGAATGGTGACTCACCATTCGCTTACAGTAGAGTAGGTGAGGCGCTACTGTACTCCACTGTACGAACATGGTAAAGGATAAACGCCTCTACGTGTTGTCCAGTCGAGGCTCACTTCGCTTCGCATGACCACGACGGCGATGCCGACTCCGCTTGCTTCACGTGTTTCCAACGGGCCGCCTTTCGCATTTACAGTTTCGAGGGTTACGTGTACAATGTGCCCCATTCTCCGAATCCACGTCGTCCGTTTGCAACTTCCTTGCAAGCTGACCAGTGCCTGTGCAGTCGTCATGCTCAGCGACTCGATGCAATTCTGCGCCGTGCCGCCCGCGCCTCCAAGTAGAGCACGGTGCAGTGCAGCGCAACTACAGTCTTGTTGCGAGTACTAAATGAGAGTCCACCGAGTTCCTTTTACTCCGCGCAAGTGTGCTGCCGCCCCTTCCTGATCTCGGCGGGTCGGCCATTAAGCGTGTATTCTTCCGGGAGGCCCCAGCTATCTCCCATCCTCCCTCGTCCAAAACTCTAACCCTTTCTGCTCCGCTGTCCCCCGCTTGTCCTTCGCAGTGCATGCACAAGACCTTTTTTCCCTTCTGCCGTCCCCAGCTTCCATCTCCCGCGCCCGGCTGGGACCATCCCATGCCCACCTGCTGTCTTTCCCTTCGATCCGCGACAGTGAAGCCAACTGCATTCCCTCTCGTCCTCGCGGGAGACTGCATTCTCCTAGTATACTAAACCCGTAATCCCGTAATCCCCTAACCCCCGAACCGCGCGCGCGCTCTAATGTCGGTCTGTAGGGCCATCTGTTCACGTACGGAAGCAGTTGTTCCTCAACAGAACTGCGCTGTGCTGGTCATAAGATGGACCTGTGAGTTTTCCAGGGTGAAATTGTACCGTTCGGACAACTGTAGTACTGTTGTGAAGATTTGGGGTGGTTTGTACGTGTAAGCGGTGTAATGGTTTCATGCTGACTTACACTACGAGTGAATACAAAGGGAAAACACCGAGGAAGCGGGGATGAGCAATAAGGAGACGCATGACGATGCGAAGAACGGGGAGAAACCCAAGAGGACTTATATACTTATACAGCTTAGACGAGAGCTACCTTCGGTGTAGTGGGAAGAACAAGAGGAGGACACGCACAGGAGCCGATCAGGAACACCTTTTGCCGAACCATATACTGTAGTAACCGCTCGTAACACCTGAAGGGAACCAAAATCTACCGTATCCTTACCTCAGGATGACCAATGAAAAACCCACAACTGTACAGTTACATTACTATACCCAAGGGTACCAAGGATACTATATTTCAAGTGCGCCAGGTACTGTAAGACCGGGCCACGCAAGCTGTGCCGTTTTCGTACTTTGTCTCAGTGTTCCAGTTACAGTACCGTTAGGGTACAGTAGTATCCTCGCCTACTAGCCAGCTGAAGGCAATCTGTTCAGCACCGCAAGGCAATCTGTTCAGCACCGCAGAGTTGAAAAATGCCGGGCCTCCGCTAGCCTCTACTCTCTTCCGCCCGGCTCTCTTCGTATATTACCCGCTTGGTGCTCTTTCTATCCTTTCGCTTGCATTGCCTTTTGCCGAGCACAATTGAGGCGTGTGCTCCTTCACAGACCGACAACGCCACGCCCGCGGCCCTTCGCTCGTCCGCACTGCATTCCACGCCGCCCTCGCCACGCTCTCCCGGTTCTTCGCTGGAGAACATGTGTCCGTCACCTTAGCGCAAGACTCGGCGGGAGGGTGAATTGTGT